GACCTTGAAGATCATCCAGTCCAACCATTAACCTAACACTGACAGTTCCCAACTACACCATATCCCTCAGTGCTATGTTGACCCTACTCTTAAACACCTCCAGGGATGGGGACTCCACCACCTCCCTGGGCAGCCCATTCCAATGCCTAACAACCCATCCTGTAAAGAAATGCTTCCTGATATCTAGTTCAAACCTTTGCTGGTGCAATTTGAGGCCATTCCCTCTTGTCCTATCGCTTATTACTTGGTTCAAGAGACTCATCCCCAGCTCTCTGCACCCTCCTTTCAGGTAGCTGTAGAGGGCGATGAGGTCTCCCCTCAGCCTCCTCTTCTCCAGACTAAACCCCCCCAGTTCCCTCAGCCGCTCCCCATCAGACCTGTGCTCCAGACCCTGCACCAGCTCCGTTGCCCTTCTCTGGACACGCTCGAGTCATTCAATGTCCTTTTTGTAGTGAGGGGCCCAAGACTGAACACAGTCATCGAGGTGCGGCCTCACCAGTTCTGAGTACAGGAGTAAGATCCCTTCCCTGTCCCTGCTGGCCACGCTGTTTCTGATGCAAGCCAGGATACCAATTTTGTCTCCTTTTATCCTATTCTCTGGTGTCAATCTGTCCTCATTGTTTGAAAACCTTCTCTAATAGTAAAACTCATCAACAAAGCTACTGTAACTGGCAAAACTTTTTCAGATTTGCATGACTGCCTCCCACCCAAACACCTTACTCGCAGAACAAAATTAGTAGTGTCATGGGACATCCTGTTGAAACGATGAATTTTGCCACACTTTTCCAAACACTGTTTGTTTTAGAGGGTTGAGGATGGGATCTCTAGGTCTGCTGCACACTTTCCAGGATTATCTATGGGTGGTTCCTGCTTTTCCTCTTTTCTCTGTTGAAGCCTATGCTGACTATCTCCTGTCTGTTGTCCTTGCAGGGCATACATGAGTGTGAAGGAGCTGAAGGAGGCACTTCAGCTGAACAGCACCCATTTCCTCAATGTTTACTTCGCCAGTTCAGTGAGGGAAGAGTTGGCTGGTGCTGCCACTTGGCCATGGGATAAAGAAGCCCTTAGTCACCTGGGTAAGTAAGCTACCCCACTCATGGGTAGTTGGGTTTCCTCTCTCTTGGTTGACTTGGCAAAAAGAGGCATCCATGACCTGACTCAACATTGAGGACATTTAATAAGAAGGTCATGATAACAGACTTTGGGTGTACCAATAGCTGGTGCTGTAAGGAAAGGACCTGCCTGTTCCCTGTGTCCATGTGGATAAGGTGGTGGGGTTACACCCTGGCAAGGGTCTTCCAGGTTGTTATGAGAAACATTTAATGGTGAAGGCAGTGAGACAGTGGGACAGAGAGCCCAGGGAGAGCTGCAGGTTCACCATCAGGGATCTAGACTTGCATTTGGCTTCTCTGGGACCTTCAAGGTCTATCTTCCAGGATTCTGGAAATGGTGAACTTCACTTTGTAGCACATGATGACAAACAGACAAACCAGGAATGTCAGTGATTTCAGAGCTGAGACTCCAGATTTGAGCAACTTCAGAGTTGACCGAGAAACGACTGCTGGCCACTTCCAAATCCAGCTGCAAATGTGAGGATGACTATCAAATTAAACCATGTTTTTATAACTCGACTTACTACATGCTATAGGCAAGTTTTTCCTTGGCTTCAGTGATCCAAGGCAGACCCTTAAGGTCATCAGCCCTGACAGACTACAACACAGGCAAAATGGCAACTGCTTCACTAGAATGTAAATGTATTGTGTGGTTTCTCCTATTTCTCCTGTCTCTTTTTTCTGCCTCTCCCTCCACTTCTTCAGTGTCAGAGTTTTCTGGCAAAGCCCTTTACACTTTGCAGTCAAAACATCTAAGTGTTTCTCAATAAGTAACTGGAAATAATTACTCCTGACACCTGCACAGCAGATCTAGACCTTCTGCTTTTACAAGTGCATGATGTTCAACCCTTAAAAGTTTTACGCTGCTGTTAAAGACCTGTTTTAAAGTTACTTTTTGCCAGTTTCCCTCCCTCAACGAGTTGCAGGACTGTTTTTTCAATAGTGTATTGCTACAGTTGGTTGTTGAGGAAGGCAAATCTCCATGAAATTTATTCGTTCAGCTTCCAGAAATCAATTCCAAGGCTCAGCTTGACAATCATCTTACTGCAGCAAGTGCTTCAGCCACACATGTTCTCTTCAGACCCCTCCCAATGGCTCACAAGGAGTTATATGGAGGGGTAATCAGGGTGACTGGTTTCATAAAAAGCTTGCATTTAGCTCCCATCTCAGAGTTTGTGTCCAGCCAGGGACACAAGAGGTGGCACCATCTGGAAATGTTGGATCGGGTTTTACCGCAGAGGTTCAGGGGAAAAGGGGTGTTGTCTTGGCTCTGGTGCCAGAGCTGTGAAGTATGAAGCTAGATTTGAACTTCTTTGAAGCTCTGGCACAGACTGAAGACTGGTTCAAGACTGTCCTTGGGTTTAGATTTAATGAGCTCGGGAGGGCGGGTGGCGGCGGACTCTGTTCTCTGTAAACAGTAGGCTTCACCACATCATCAAGTGTTTTGTACCATGCACAATATATATTATTATATAGCACAAAAGAAACTTAGGACTGGGCACATCATGAATATATGGCTTTTAACAAAACATCTCACAAGAAGCTACTGGAGAATCTGAGTAGACGTGAAGGTAAAGCAATGAAAAAAGAATAAGAAAAACATTGGGAGGGTGAATAGTAGTTTGAGAAATATTCCTGAGTTTTAAGGGTCTAATAGTGACCATGAGTGAAGACAGGTCTTTACACAAGAGAGGGGACTATCTCCAAGAATACAGACTTCTTCCCTTGCACTGAAACTTTCTTATCACCTATCTATCCTGATCTTGAGATATTAAGGTCAACACACAGGCCTTGCTTCCCCCATGCCATTGTCTGCTTCCATGGAGCAGAAACACCATGCTGATTTTTCCCTACATGCATACAGATGCTCTCATGCTTTGGTTCTCCTGAATCAAATTGGTTCTTTGAGTTGGACTTGACTTCTCCAAGAAGCTAACTTGCCTCTTGGCTCCAGAGGCTCTTGGTCAGATTTTGCTCTGTTTGTCTCTCTGAACTGGATTTAGATGTTTTCGGAAGTACCATGAGACTCTTCCTCTCCAACTGCTTTTCCTTCTTCTATTTTAACAATTCCTCTCATCCCAAAGCTCACTAGATATACTGTTTCCAAACTGTTCTCCATCAGTCCTTATCCAGATGTTTTTTAATCTGCAACCTTGACTTTAAATTCCTTAGAAACCATTCTTTCATGGTTTTTGAATGTGTCTTTTAAGAGGGTCCTCCTCACCTTCTTGTTGGCATCTTCACTTTTTCTTCACTTATGCTTATTTTGGGCTACCAGAAATTAAGTGACCATTCCTATACTGATGATTTACAGATCTGTTGCTCTCCTCCAGATTATTTTCCTGAGTAAATATGAATTTCAGGCAGTCTTCCTGAAGCTTTAGAAATGGTTTACCATTTGAGACTAGTAGTAATATCAGCCAATGGCAACTACATTCCTTGAAGCATAAGAGATAATTACTGACTTGAAGAGGGTAAACTGGTCTATGATGCTTCTATAGGCAATATTTCAGCTGCTTGTGGAGCTCCTAGACAGAGACAACTTGCTGCCAGCTAGCAGCAGAGGTAGAAGGTCTCAGGTCCGTTTGCACTGCACCCTCTAACCATACTGTCTGTCTCAGTCTTTCCACCATAATCACAGTGAGTTCCTCTCAAATTCAGAGTTCTTGCTTGGAGTCTGGAATGAATTTTCTGAGAACTTAGAAGTAAATCATTTAAACTACAAAACACAAGGAGTGAAACTGCTGTTCTATAAAAAACTTAGCTTTCCACAGTGGAAAGCCTTGCCTCAAAAGCCCTAGCAATGTAATAATGCAGACGCTTTAAACTTCATGTGTAGCTGCATGTGAACTGTATTTGCATAAACATGGTAGAAGGGCAAGGGAATTGTGAATATTTGCTGTTATAAATACTTTCTGCAGTTATATAAGCTGAGGCCAGCTCATATATCTGGCTGAGGTCAGTGGATCCTGAAGGAGGGCCAGCCGTTCCATCAAAGGTACCTTAAGCAATGGCTGTCTTCCTGTCTGACTAACCGTCATGCGCTTGTTCCATTAATTGCTGTGACTCAGTGTTTGGGGAAGACTGGCCCTGTGATACAGGTTCAGATGTGTGGTTTGCTCTTTAAAGATCCCATGTTTGTTGGAGCTTGAGTTCTCTACAACAACCCTGACCCAGGAACATGGTTGGTTTCTTGGGGGTCACTTGAACCAGAGTCCTTCAGCATTGTTGCAAATCATGGCTAGAATCAGGGCAATGTTCTGGAACTGGAAGCTTCCAAGGAATGCATGAGTGAAGATGAAGTGGGGTCCACACCAGTGTAACCATTCACCACTACTGATGACTGGGCACCTCTTGCTGCTTGAGTGGAGTTGAGGCTTGACCTGGGGGACGTTACCAGCTCTGCAGCTGGTAGGTCTGGTCTGGATGGAGAGGATGTTGTGAGGCCAGACCTGAAACTTTCTAGCTGCCTGGTCTCGGTTGGGTGAGGAAGTCAAAAGAAGAGTCTGATTCACCTGCCTTGAGGTGCTGGAACTCCTTAATGTCACAGGGACATGACACTGAAGTTTTTGGCTTGGTTGTGTAAATGCAGACCTTGGGGGCCTCCTTGGGCTGGTTCTCAGGTGTGAGAGGGGAGAATTCACTTAAAGCCTGTCCTAGCCTATCTCCCAGGGCAGGAGGAGGCAGAGGCAAGAAAGAAAGCGTGATCTGCAGAGGAGGGAGAGGGGAGACTAGTCTTGCTGGGATGTTAGAAACACTTCCACATCTTGCCTTCACAGCCAGTATCCTGCAGAGGGGAAATACAACTTCCTGGTCCAAAGCTGGGAGCCCTCCCAGCTCATCAGGAAGCTGTGGGGACAGGGAATGGAGGGACAGGGATGTTCTGGAAGGAAGGCAGAGTTCTCATGCTGTTTCTAATCCTGCCATCTAATTAGCTGTAAAAAAAAAACCCTAAAAATATTATCATCCTTGTGGAGTGTGGGGGAGGAATGGAATAGGGGAAGCCAACAAAGAGGAGGGGGAGGGACAGGGTATCCCAGCCTTGGCATCCCTCCCTGTGACAGTTTTCTTCCTCCATGTACTGGAATCCCATATATTTTTCCGCATGGGAAGAGCACTGGGTTTCTGCTGGAAGGAGGGCTGTTTGGTCACAGGGCCTCCCGTGCCCCTGGTGCTCAGCCCTGTTCCTTGTGGTTAGTGCCACAGGATGCATGCAGGGCTTTCACATCTCAGTTATTTGTTTATGAACATTATTTTCTTTCTGCATGCTCATTCCTCCTTTGACCTTTGGGCAGGCAGCCCCCTGCCTTGTTCAAGCTGGGGTTTGGCTGCAGAGATGCCTTTTCTTTCTGTTCTCTCATGTCCTGTTTTGATTTAAATGTGAAGCAGCTTTTTTTTTTTTTTTTTTTTTTTTTTTTTTTTTATGTGCCCACTGGGTTCTCTATCAATGGGATGCCCTTTGCTATCTATAGCATTTACCAGCCTGGTAATTGAGAGGGGGAAAGCTTGCAAAAACCTAATGATTGACAGGATACAACATGAAGGTCCCACAAGGATCTTTCAATCTCTGTACCTTTTGATGGTCCATCTTAAGTCAACAAAAGGGTCAAAAGCTGACTGATGGGATGCAAGGTCCTCTGCTCTGGTGTTTTACAACTGGGGAGAAAGGGAATGCAGCTACTTTTTGGCCCAATCCTTTGCCTCAAGACAAGCTGCCCTGATCTACACTGTGGGGAAGAAGAACAACAAACATCAATTTTTAGCTAAGAAATGGTGCCACTTGACAGGCCACTGGTGTGTCTCAGCCCTTCCATGAGCCACACACGCAGGATGCTCCATAGAAGATGCCACTCTTATTTCTTCACACTCTTGCAACCCTGTGGGGCTCAAGAGAATTGCTCAGGGAATCTCTGTACGCCCCTTTCCAGCCTCAACCCAGTGATGACCCAGCATGGCTCCACCAGAGGAGTCACTGACCTACTGGTGTCTTGCCAGGGACACTGTGATCTGAAGAAAGCTCTCTCTTGGAAGGAATGACCTGTACTTGAGGACATGAGGTAGTTCAGTAGTGCACGGAGCTGATCCAGGGGCAGATTTCAAGCAGTCTATGATGTGACTGGAGTCAGGATTACACTGTGGTCCTCTGCCAATTTTAACTTTGCTGGCAGGGGCAACAATCAGCAGCAGAGATGCAGTAGCAGAGGCTGCTATGAGGTAGCTGGCACTGTAAATCCTCCAGGGCCCTGCAAAGGAGGAAGCAAGATGTGACAGAGCCAACTATTCCCCGCACTGCCATCCAAGCTGTCTGGGTTAAAAGCAGCTAGGTAAAAACAGCCTCCCATGCCATGGAGGTATTGCCTGCAGTCAGCCTGGGCACAAGCTGGGGTCATCCCCTTGTCTTGCTGATATTCCCCAGCCTTTGCTCTTCCACCATAAGGCAGCATGGAAAAATGGATGGAACAAGGAAACGAGACAAGGAAAGGGGAGGATAATGGCCAATGAAAAGCCTCGAAGCAGGGAGAAAAATGCAAAGTTTCCCAAGAGATTTTAATTTCGGCAAAATAAAGAAATGAAAGAAGGACAGAGAAGAGAGGGAAGTTTGTGCCCATGGACAGTTTCCCAGCAGATGTGGTACAGGGTGTACATCCCAGGTCAGGAGTTAGAGATGCTGGCAGTAAGCAAAAGAAAGGCTCTGCTCCACTTGGCTTTCCTCAGCATTATTGATCCTTGCTCTTCCCACGGCAGGTGGGTGGGTAGGAGAGGAAAAGCACATTGTCCTGCAGCCAAGGGCAGCTTAGGGCAGGATCAGCATGGGTCCTGTCCAGCTCCATGCCATTGCTATCAGTATGAAGTGGCAGCTCTGGGCAGTTTCTGGGGGACTTAGTCTGTACCCATGCTTCAGCATTTTTGATAGTTGAACCTGCACCAAACTGGCTTGGAGATGAACTGCCCCTTTGTGCCCCCTTAAGCTGAGGGGCTGGGGTGACCCAGTGAAGAGGAGTAGGACTGTGATGGGTGGGGGGTTCTTGCCCCGTTCACTTGGTACACTTTACCCACACATAAACCCCTCTAAAGGGGAGGAAGGGATCTTTAGAATCTGCATTTTAGAAAATCCTATTCTAAAATACACAGTGAATTTGTATCAGGTTTGAGGTAGAAGATTAGTGGATTGCAACAGCACCTCGTGAGAATTTTAGTTTACCCCTTAGGATCTGGCTTGGAGGTTGAAGCAATAAGTCATTTGTGTTTTCTCAGTAGGGGTCAGAGGCAGTGCATTGGAATCTTCATATGGACTTGTGCTGAAGGTGGCTTCAACTTGCCGCAGACAAGTGTTTCACGACTTTGCTAGGCAGCTCACCTGCCATGGGAGTTGGCATGCTTTAGCCACCTGTCTAGGTTAGGCAAGGTCTTCCATCCTCTGTTTCAAAAGATTATCCCTGTAAACTCATAGCATGTCTTGGTTTGGTGCCCTGGCTCCAAACCTCATTTGGAGTTGTAAGTGTGAACCAAAGCAGACACTGAATTATAAACATTCAAAAGACATAGGGAAATGGTAGCTGAAATGACTGAAGATGTTGGAGGGAGTGGTGTGATCAGAAGGGGAAGAAAAAAACACCCACCCCTTTCTACTCCAAGAGGAAAAAGGAGACCTGCCATCCTACAAGAGGGTTAATGTCCATCTTCAGGTCTCCATCTGGCATCTCATTTGTGACCTGGAAGCACAATGAGAGGAATTTTACCTAGCACAGGTGAGTAACCGCAGCTGCCCTTTCTCTGGGTGATGTTCTCTGTATTTGCAATCCTAGGTGGAGTTGTCCTCAACCCTGCTTATTATGGTATGCACGGCCACACAAACACCATGATCCACGAAGTAGGACATGTACTGGGGCTGTACCACGTCTTTAAGGGAGTGAGCGAGCGGGAATCTTGTGATGATCCCTGCAGGGAGACAACTCCGTCTATGGAGACAGGAGACCTCTGTGCTGACACTGCCCCCACCCCAAAGAGTAAACTCTGTCGGGATCCAGACCCTACCAATGACACCTGTGGCCAGACACATTTTATGGGAACGCCCTTCAACAACTACATGAGTTACACAGGTAATGAGTAATAGTCATTAGAAATTGTAAGGTGTCACCTTCCTTAGAAACTTGGGTTTCTCTCCGTTTGCCTCCACTGATAGTGCCTTCCTTCATTCCCTAAATGATGTGGTCCCTCATGGTGGGCAGGGATGCAGCAGCCTGCATTCTTTCTTATCCCCTTTCTTGCTGCTGGCTGTTTCCATCCCTCCTTCCCTGCCAGTCTGTAGGTCAGTGGAGAGGCACTACGTCCATTCTTGTCTACATGGTGGTGTGAATCTCTTCCTCAGTGCTGAAGTAACTTAATGATAATAAATAATAATTATTATTACTACTATTACAATTTTGGACCTTCGCCTTGATCCCTTTTGGCTTGGTTTCCAAAGGCGTGGTATGGAGGACTGGTGTTTTCCTCCTGGCAGCCCAGGAGGACCAAAGCAATTCTGTAGAGCAATTCTGTCCCCCCGTGCTGATAGCCTGCGAGTCCCAGGGGAATGGTGGTAGTGCCCGGGTGTTAGAGCTGGTGTTGAGGCCGGTGCAGTCAGGGGCTGTTGAGGCCGGTGCAGGGATGTGGAGCTGCTGAGGCAGTGCCATCTTGTGGCTTTGGGGACGCACGACACCAGAGAGTCCCAGCAGGGCAGAGCTAACACGCAACTGTCCCCCAGGTCTGCGAGGTCCCCAAAACAGTGTTTGGACATCAGGAAGGGTGAACACTCTCATGTTCTGCCAGCTGATCCCTGACGCCTCTCTTCCCCCAGACGATGACTGCACTAACACCTTCACCCCCAACCAAGTGGCCCGGATGCATTGCTACCTGGACCTGGTGTATCAGCGCTGGGGCCAGAGCAAGAAGCCCGTGCCCATCCCAATCCCTCCCATGGTCACAGGGCAGACACAGGACTCCCTCAGCATCTACTGGCTTCCTCCCATCAGCGGTGTCATTCACGAGAGGTAAGGGATCTGCTGGTGCGATGGTCTTGGGCTTGCACAGGAGCCTACTAGAAGTGACAAGGGATCTTCTGTGGTGCAGACCCCCCCAGTCCCCTTCCCCCTTGCTTGTCTCCAGCAGAGCCCTCAGACACAAGAGCTGAGCTGCTGTGATGGCCCTGCTGGCACATGGGCTCTCCCGCAAGCTTTCTGCTCTCGGGGTGCTGGGAGGGGAAGCCAAAGTGCATTGGGAGGCAATGCCAATTCTTAAACCCCAGAGTGCAATCACGGAATGAAAAATGAGTTTCATTTAGCACTTATTGTATAAAATAGCTATTTACCAGAAGGAAATGCAGCCTTGTGGTTAAGGCAGGGAGCTCGAACCACAAGAGCTGGGTTTCGTTCCCAGAGCTGTCACAGACTCATGGTGTAACTAACTGGGGGTAAGTCAAGAAACTTTTCAAGCCAGTGGCTGTCTTTCTTCTCTGCAATACCGGAGAGACACCAAGACCTGGATACACCACCAGTGCCTCTATTCAGCAGCCCCTCTTACTAAAACATTTTTGATTCCACAAGGTTTTAGGATTGTGCTTTTATTATGGAACCATAAGCACAAGTTAAAGATCTCTTAATTTGTTTTAAAGCTGCTTCACAAAGCTGTCTCTTGCAATTAAAAGAAATGTGCTGTTTGAGGGCAGCTGGGACACTCTTGGGTCAGGGTTTCCTGCCTTCTCAAAGGACTGGTGCTTGTCACGATGGGCCTTTCACCCAGGGATTAGAAGAGCACGTGCCTGTCACCCCGCAGACATGAGAGCCTCTGAGTGCTGGGTGGCCTCAAGTCATCCAAACAAACTGATTTGGTGGGGAATAGAGTGGATTTGGAGCAGAAAATCATGGGTCTAGAAGGCAGGTGCTGGATCTTTGGATCCATCCCCAGCTCTTGCTCATAACTGGCTCAGGAGCAGGTCCAGGGTGGGGGTCCTGCATCCCCTGAGATGAACTGGTCAAGGAAAGGGGCTGAGGCTGACCCTTATCACAGAACAGTACTGTTTTTCTTTGTTGGAGAGAACAGTGTGACCCCCTTCAATTGGCATTATTGTGACTGTTTTGTATTACAGTAGTGATGAAAGCAAAACCCTGACTCTGGGGTCTAGGAGAGATAGACCCAGGTGCACCCACCCAACTGCAGAGATATTGCCTTGAGATGCATGAAGTCTGTTAGTTCTGATTTGTGAGTGGGGAACAGGCAATTCAATGGCTCATCCAAGACTACCCAGAAAGCCTGCAGAAGAGGAGGGAATAAACACCTCCTGTCCCACAGTCACTCTTATTCTCCTGTCTTTGACAAAGCTTATTCCAAGCAGGAGGATATGCCCAGGGCCTTCCTGAGAGATTAGCTTTGCTTTTCCAACTTCCCATCTGATCCTGCTTGGACAAACATGGATGGAAAATTAACCAGTCGTGGTTAGAAATACCAGTGCCTTTGTCTTCTGTCTGCAGGGAGCAGGACACACTCTGTGACAACTGTGCGGAGGACGGCACCTTCCATCAGTATGTGCATGAGGCATCTTCCCCTCGGGTCTGTGATTCCTCTGGCTACTGGACCCCAGAAGAAGCAGAAGGTAAATGTATCCTCTCTTTCCCTGGCTGTAAATCCCCCGGACAAAGATGAGATCTTGTTGGGAAAAGAAAAATACGATTTTTTCTTTTAGAGAGTGGGTTGTGTCTTCTCTGGGAAAATTCTTTAGTGCAGAAAGCACTTCTAGGTGCCCAGGACATAACCTGGTAACTGCCAGCTGGCTTTGGACAAACAAAGAAACACCCTAATATTAACCCACCTCATTGCATAGAAAGGTGTTAGTGAGAGATACTGGTCCAAGGGAGGGACATTTCATTGAAAGAAAAGCCTTAACAACATAGATCTTGAGACCTCATTCAAAATCTCAGGGACATTCACAGGCTTTGATGCAGCTTTGTCCAAAGTGAGCAAGAGGAGCTCCTTACTCAGTCCCACTAAGTCTGTACCAAGTCCTGGGCACTCTGGGCTAGATGCAATTCCTCGCTGTCAAGGTGAACAGCAGAGTATTACCACTTCTCTTGTGCTGAGACCCAGATGTTGATTTAGAGACCCACCTGGTTGGCATGGTAGTGACTTTCAGGGTCATGCAGCTGACATAGAAGCTGTTGAGCTTTTCATGCTGTCTCAGCTCCTCCAAGGGCAAAGCAAAGGAGGCAGGAGACCAGGTGAAATGATCCCATGAGCTCTATGAAGTGCACATGCTGCTGTTGAACCCTGTGGAGCCAGGGGATCTGTTATTCTGTACATCTGCACATTTGAACCACTGAGTTCGAGTGAAAATGTGCTGGGGTGGTTGCAGATAAAGTGCAGTCTGGACATTATTACACCTTTGGGATGTAGCCCATACTTTCAGAACAGGAGTGTCAGGATCTAGCTGAGGTTTTGCCTGAAATCTCCTTAATTTAAGTATCACTTGCTATCATTGTAAGTTCAGGGGGAGGGGGGAAATCAACTTAAGTAATGAGATTTGTGCTTATTCAGTAACACCAAACAAATCAAAGCTTAGCTCATTTAGTCAGTGGTTCCTGTTTTCCCTGCCTGTCTGATTAACTGGCAAATTAAAACTGTTTCTGGAATTATTGATGTTGTTTTCTCTGTGCATGACTTGCAGTTATCATGAGTGCATGTTTGCTCTGGTGAAAGAGATGGGGTTTATGTTTTTTAGAAGACTAATATTAAATGGATGCAGGCTTTGAGTTGGTGCTGAGTCCTACGAAATGCTTGCAGTGGTTGATGATGTCAAGGGTATTTCTACTTCAAGATGAGGAATTCCAGCGATGCTTTCTGAGACTGAAAGCCCAACATTACATTTCTCTTGCTGAGTGCAAATCCACCCCAGGGGAGGTAGGCTGGGGACCTGAGGTCAGCCTGGGCACTGTCCTGGAGGTACTGGTGGAAGAACAACCTTCCAGAGTTACTTTCTTGACTTGCTTTGGACCTGGTCCCTTTCCACCTGTGACCTGTTCCAGCACATGGAAAGCTTCAGTCTCTGCTCTGCTTAGCCTATGTCCAAACACATGGACCCACAGGGACTCGGCATTCAGGTGCCCTTGGCAAGCCTTCTGTGCCTGTGAGACTACAGAGCAAGCTTCCTGTCGCCCAGCTGTGTTCAGGCTGTCTATAGATCTTGGCACTGTGACCACAGGCAACATGGACACCATTGTCCCTGTTTTAGAGGGCTGTGAGACACCAGATCTGCCAAGCCTGTACTTGTGTGCATACTGAGGAGCTGGGAGGCCAGTGGTGCTTGTTTCTTTCTAGGATGTTAGAGCAGATGCCACCAGCTCTGGTACATGCCTGTAGTGGGTGCAAAATTGCATGGGTATGCAGCTATAGCACAGAGGTGTGTAAGCACTTACAGGATACTGCAGGAAGGATTGCCATTATGGGTCCCCTATGAGGTCAGCTGTCCCCTGGTCTTCATCAGCCTTCTCCTTGTCCTTTCTGTCCAGGGCCCCCGGATGTGGATCAGCCCTGTGAGCCCAGCCTGCAGGCCTGGAGTCCGGAGCTCCACCTGTACCACATGAACATGACGGTGCCGTGTCCCCAGCCAGATGGCTGCATCCTGGAGCTGCGCTTCCTGCACCCTGTCTACCCCGATTCTCTCACCCTCTGGACCACATACCTCTCCACAGGCTCTCCCAAGGCGCTGTCTGACATTGAAGTCCTGACAGAGCAGGGGGAGTCCATCCATCTAGGCCCCCTGGACACCTTCTGTGATGTCCCCTTTACTGTGAAGCTCAACATCCCTAGAAAGGTGTCCGGAGTAAAAATCTACACCTTTGATGAGAGGATGGAGATAGACACGGCCCTTCTGACCTCCATGCCCCACAGCACTGTCTGCTCCACCTGCAAGCTGATCCAGTACCGAGTCCTCCGTGACCCCCCATTTGCAAATGGATCGCCTGCTGCCCCAGCACAGGTTCACCGCCAGTTTGTTGACATGTGAGTGACGAGGCTGCTCTGTCACAGACTGAGTGGGTGGCTGGGACAGTTTTGATGACCTTCTCAGGTCCTACCTTTGAATCCCTGGATGGTTTTCTTGTCTTTCTCCCCCCACTCCCCACCCACCCCATCCCAGGCATTACCACATTCTGTGACAACAGTGGATTCCCTATTCAGCATTGAGGAACCTTGTTGCAGACCCATCATGCTAGCACAACCCTTGCTCATGAGTCTAGGCTAGCTAGAAGAAGATTATTAAACCTGGAAACGTTTTCCCCGTCAACACAACCAGTAAAATGATTGTTCAAGTTAATGCCACTTATTCCCAGCTCAGACCCTAGGGAAATAAGCAGCAGGCCCCTCTGCATGACCTGGCAGAGACCCTCTTCCCACAGCCTCTGCCTCTGGCAGTTTAAACTATGAAGACATATGTCAAACTGTGATACTGTGTGGGTGCACACATGTGATTTCTGTAGTTGTGGTGAGAAAATCTGTTGCAGATGTATGGGCTGTTCTCTCCTGCTCTTTCTTCAAGTCCTCTCTGTTCCTGCAGGGAAGTCACGCCTGGGCAGGTGTACCAATACCAGGTGCAGGCAGTCTCTGGGACAACCTCAGGAGAAGCCTCCCCACCACTTATCCATGTCCATGGAGCACCCTACTGTGGGGATGGGAAGGTGACCACGTAAGTCAAGAAACTCAAGCTCTCAGCTGGGGTTCTTTAAGCTGTTGGATCATCCTGCCCCAAAGAGCACTACTGGGTTGGTCCTCCACCCATGGGTACTTGACTGACGATGCTGCACTGAATCCCTAGAGCACACTGGGCTATAGACCTTGTGTTTTGTAAAGTGCCATATGCATGGGGACATTTTTTTTGAGAAGCAGGGTCTGGATGAGGTGTCCAACCTGAACATCCTCCGTGTTTGATTGCAGTGCTTGGATTCTAGCCCAGCTCAGCAAACTGTCATAGAGTCTGACCCCAAAGGGTTCTGCCTTTGAGACCTGTCAGTACAACTTTTGCACAGAGCACACAGTGATGGCCCTGCAGGAGTAGGTTCCACATCAGATGCAGTCCTACACGACATGGTGTCTTTAGAGAACTCTCTGGTCTCTGCTTAGAGACCCCATCTCTAAGGAATGCACCACCTCTACATTGAGAGACTCCAGTGGTTCACCTGATCTGTATGGGCATAATTATGCCAAATTTCTATACTTTAGCTTTTTCAGACTTCAACTTCCAGGTTACTCAGAATCACTTTCCTTTGAAAACAGTTTTCTTAACACTGTGAGGAAAGGGAACAACTGAAGCAAGTGCAGGAGGGATTGTGTATCATGCAACACTCAGCAAAGCAAAGAAACATACAGCAGGATTAGCTGCTAAAGTGGTGTAATCTGGTATGATTTTAGCCATGTATTCATACTAGCTGAAGACTTGGTTCAGAGAGAGCAAATGACCACATAAGTCTCCATTGTCGAAGTCAATAAAAAAGAAATAAGCAGATAGCAGCTGAGATTTTTGGCAGACTTTCCTTTTCCTGAGCTGTTGTAGGGAAGGCCATGTGAAAAGCTTTGTCTGTGAAAGTCTTTCCCTTTGTACCATGTGTCGAACAGTGAGCCAAAAGGAGGAAGATGGGACACAGTGGATCTTTTGTGTTAGATAAGGGTGGAGGTGAGTGAGCAAGATGTATGTCTGAAGTTTTTTGCTCCTTGTGTTTTGGGTTAAGTAACTCTGTGCACAAAAAAATAGGTACAAATTGAGGCATTTCTGCCAGCTTTTCCGATCAGGTCAATTTTCTGCAGTATGGGGACAGAACCTTTTCAAGGAAACTACATGGGTTTTTATCCTCATGCGATGCCATGCATGCCAACTGGGGACTGATTCTTGTCTCCTCTTGGGCTATCTTTCTCTCTTTCCCTTCTCCTGCCTCTTCTCTGGCTCCCCCTGAAATACCAGACCCTTTTCAGAACCTCCTGCCCTCTCCAACGCTTGCTTTCTCCAGCAGCAAGTCTTCCTGACGCTTGGTTCTCTACTTCCTCCATTCTATATATCTTAATTTTCTCCCATAGTTCTTGCCTGAGGTCCTAAGGAAGTCTCAATGCAGTCATGCCTCCTCCCATATACTGTGTTTTTCAACCTCTTTATGGTGTTTTCTCTCCTCTACCTTACTCCACATGTGGTTCTTCCTCTTCCATGGGGTCCTCACTCATGACTGGGCAGAAGCACAGGAGTGTTGAATCAAGGGTTCTGGTAACACATCTGGCTGTTGTCTTCTTAGGAGTCTGGAGGAGGAATGCGATGATGGGGACTTGATGGATGGAGATGGCTGTTCCAGGAAGTGTAAAAAGGAAAAAGGCTTCAACTGTGTCGGTGAGTCCAAATGGACTGACACATCCTTTTGAGGCAGGAATTAAAACTGTACATAACTTACACTGCTGCTCAGAGCAGGGGGGATGCACTTCTTCACAAAAAAATGTGGATCTACAGCTGGAGTGATCCATGAAGCTTGTCAGGCCTTTGTGGTGGGAAATAGAAGGGCTAAATGTTCAGTATGCCTCCTGAGACAGGAGAACATGTATGTGCCTGGAGCCTGGTTTGTAAATGGGTCATCCCTGGTCTTGCAGGGGAACCAAGCCTGTGCTATGTGCACGATGGCGATGGTGTGTGTGAGCCATTTGAGAAGACAAGCAGTGTCCTGGACTGTGGTCCCTACACACCTGATGGATATGTGGATCTGTGGGCAGTGAAAGCCTATGCCTCCCATCAGGAGGAGGCCTGCCCTGCTTCCTTGGTCACTGGAGAGCCTGTTGTGAAGGTGAGTGAAGTCATGGCAAAATAAAACCACTTTTCTAGCAAAACCCATGCAGTAAAGCTGGGGAAGTCACTGCTGCAAGAGTGTACTGAGGCAAAAAGAAAATTTTCACAGCAGCTCTGGAAGGGTCCATTGATTATTATACTATATTTCTATGCAGGGAGCCAGCAGGAGACCTGGGCATTTCTCACAACCCTCTTTCAGTAGTCCCTAAGCCCAGGAACTGCAGTACATGGAGGGGTATTTCATCAAGGCAGGGAGCAGCTCCCCTGACCATACAGTTTGCTAAACACCCCCATCCCACCAGCTAAATGCACAACTTTGAGCATGTGAGTAGTCCCACTGTTGGCTTAAAAATATCCCGTAAACCTAATACCTTCTAAGGTCAGGGCTTGAAAGGATAAAATCATGCTATACATCAGCATCTGTGCTGTTCTCCAACTCTCTGATCTGAAGCCAAGGAAAAATCAATGGGAGAATTCCCATCTTACATATGGGCTTTGGAGCAGGGCCTGGAGGTCTAGAACAGGATTTCGCCTGATGGGTGTTAACGTGGTGTGTGTATGTTCTTTCCTAGCAAGCTGAAGAAGGGCAAGAAATATGTAGAGAGGTCATATCTAGCTCTTTTTACATGCATTTCTATTGACCTGGTACAAGGAAAAATCTTGAAACCTACAGCATGATTAAATTGCCCAGATGTACATGTCTAATGGATGCTTTGGGCTCAAGTGTCTGCTCCTCTAGAATGACACACATATCTCCCAGATTTTGTCTGCCAGGCCTGTGGGGATGCCTGGGATACCACAGGGCATCGAATGGCACAGAAGACTGGTATTTAGGCAAATGTATCACACCTTTGAATCTCCTCAGCCTAGCCAAAATCAGGAGGCTGTGGTCTTACCTACCATCTCACAGCTTGGCTCATTGTTTCTTATTGAGCCCCACAGACAACATGGGGTGCTAAAAATGCATATTTGCAGCACCTCAAAATGGCAAAGGCCTCCTGTGCACATGTTTGGTTGGCCAGATGTTGCTCCTGCTTAGGAACCCACATCCCAATCGTGTTCATGCTAGGAATCAACTTTGGATCCTTCTCAATGTCTGTTGAATCTTCCTTGAGGTTTTGTAGGTGCTGTTTCAATCCAGAAAGAAGCAAAGAAAGTGAGAGAAAGAAATAAATCTCTGCTTTCAGGTATGTAAATCCCACCTTCACTATGTGCCAAAGGACCTTTCCCTGGCTGCATGGTTCCCCTGCACTCCCAGCCAAGACAATGCTCAGGATCCAGATGAGGAGAAGATGCCCTTGGGCGATGAGGGAGTTTGGCTCAAGGTAAGTGAGGGTGTGTGGTCAGGCACAGAATGATCAGCTTGTCTTTGATAAAGACTCATCCTTTTCTGTCCTGTAGGAGCTACAGCAGTCTTAAAAGCTGCTCATATAGGACTTCATATCCTATTGAACTCTTTGTAAACCCCAAATGCATGTGGCTAGGTCTTATGTAGTTGCCCCATTCCTGCTGTGAACAGCAAACCCATCCTGGGGCAGATTGCCAGGAGAAGGGCTGTGCCCGAAACCAGAAGCCCACAGAAATGTGTTAAGGCTGAGAAAAAACTTGCTCCTGACTATTCCCTGCCATCAAGCTGTGCTGTTACACCCACAAAGGGTGGTCACAAGCTGTGTTTGAAGTCCTGTTCCCCATGGCTGTGAAGAGCAACAGAGGGCAGCTGGATATACTCTGTCATCCTGAGGGGTCCTGAGCACTCCATGTTGCTGCTGAGCATCCTGAGCCCACAGCAATCATCTATGGCATGCAGGTTCTCCTGCACCCTGGTGACACCAGACCAAAAAAAGCACTTCTATGCCCAAGTTGCTGGTCCTGCAGCCCAGTGGGGGCTCGGGGGTTGCCTCCATGGCCAGGGGATTTGGAAGGACACATGAAGGGTAAAACCTCTCTGTCCTGGAAGGAAGAGGAGCAGGACAGAGGAGTACTGAGGGTTAGGCCAATGTGATTTTTACAGCATTGATTTTCTGACCGCAGACACAGTTTAGAGGTTTCGTGGCTGTTGCCTGGTGTTACTGGAAAGCTGAGCTCTGGTGTGTTGCTTCCTCTGCAGTTTGAGGGGCACCTTGCCCTGCTTTCTCTAGAGAGGACCTCTTCTGAAGATGCTCAAACAACTTAGTGAATTGTTAAACCTGAGTCAATAAACATGGCTATTGTCTCTGAGGTCCTCTGTCTCTCCACAGAACTCACTTTAACTTTTTTTTTTTTTTTTCTTTCTTCCTTGTCTGTGTGCTCACAACCTACTTTCCGGTTTCAGTCTCTAGCCATGACAAATGTTGCTCCTTTCTTCCACTGCTAGTGAGAAAGCACCAATCTTCCCCTCTGCCCTACCTAGATGAAAGCTTGCTTTGCACTTCTCACCAGGGGTTAAAGTGTGTTCCAGTTTTATTGGAGCTTGTGGTCAGTTCCCTTCCTCTATGGATGTTTATATTAAAGACTTTCATTACTAGTTCTCTGTTCTCTCTCTAGGAGTGCTATTATTTTCCGCCCATAAAATTATTTATGGACTAGTAATAAATATGCCCTTTTTCTTTTCTTCTTTTTTCCCTTTTTTAATAGAGTTTGCCTGATTGGTAACATATTGAGTTAGGAAAGACAGCTTCTTGTTAACAGTTTACCTAGCACACCCGCCTGCCCAGACAGGAATGGTTCTGTTTGTGCACATGCGTACCCACTTGTGCGTGGTATTTCATGGCCACTAACTCCATGTTAGACCATTTTAAGGTTGTTGCACCTGTGTCACCCAGGTTAGAGCCACACCACAAAACTCATTGGGTGGTAGGAATTGCTTCCTACAGCGTTTCTAAAGAGGTAGTACCAATAAGCAAGGGAAAGGCTGGGTCACACTGTAAGTGGGCTGGGGGCAAGAGGCATGTGTGTGTCTGTGCCACCTAATGAAGCATTTACCATGTGCCTTGGGTCTGTCTGCAGATGGGAATCGTTATGATTTGCAGATCTCCAGCCATGCTTTGTTCTCAGTTTCTAACACATCTGATGAGGAGAGAAATCAAAATCATTTCTAAGCAAGTCACGATGTGTAACATGCAGGAAATTAAACAGAAAGGGGGAGAGGGAGGGAGAAAAATTAAGAAGATAGCCTGCTGTGGCCAAGCACGTAATACGTATTAAAAAGAAAAAAAAAATTGGGATGTTAGTCAAGTCAGCTGCTGTTAATGTAACTTGGGGCCAATGTCCTTCACCTCCAAGTAGATGTGCTGTAGGAAGGGAAAGACTAAACTCTCCACCTTAAGCTGTGTAGTGCAGCAAAAGCCACATCTGACTTCTCCAACCATGTCTCCTCTCCTGAAGGAACCATGCTTGGAGGGGAGTGGGCAGCATGTGGCTGGGTTAAAATCAGCCTGCTCCCTGGGGCTTCCCAGCCGTACCTCTGTCCTGGGGGGCTCCTTGGAGCAGGTGGTGAGCAGTGCTGCTCTTCTCTGTCTGTCTTTTCTTGTTGATTTCCTTTATTCTTTTTTTTATTTCATGTTTCTTTTCATTTCTCGCCCTACTTTTCTCACTTTTCTCAGTGAGGATAGACTGAATAAATATGTTTAAGCCTCCTGGTCCACTCCTTGAAACCAGGCCAGCCCTGCATGAGAGCAAGCCCCGGCTAAAGGAGAGTGTAGGCAGCAGCAGGGACTTGCTTGTGGGGTATTTGCGGCCAAGCACTTCCATGCAGGGTGGGAGCCCTAGGCTGAAGCCCAAGGCTTTTTCCTACTCCCTTGCATGCAATACCTGGTGTGGCACAAATCACCCCAAGTCTAGGCTGCCATCACAAATTAGATGGTTGTCCCCTCCGCTCCCAGTTTGCTCCATGGGCTGTGCCTGGCCAGACGGGACTTGTCCTCCTTGATTTTTCTGGGCTACCTGTATGCTGGCATTCAACAAAACCACTCCATAGGGTGGATCTTGATCAAAACACATCTCTGCATTAGGCAAGTGTGATGC